ATGTGATAATACTCTTTGATGAAGGACTGAACAGATTTTAATCATTGTGAAGGAGATAGATCAGGCAAATTAGTTGGAATTGAACATAAATTAATACAAGAATAAATTGTGTATGTATAATTTATGTAACTCTTTATTCGAGAAAATATTTTTATGAAAATTATATATTCCAAAAATAACACGAATATTGTACTGAAGTTAAAGAACTATCAATAAAAATAACAAAATTTATAAAAATGCATGCATGAATGACTCCTGCAAATAATATTCAAAACCCAAACACAAGAACCCAAATAATAAACCAATATTTAATTGTTACGCCTATGATTTAACACCTGCCAAGTAAAGTTCAATAAAATAAACAGAAATAATTTCAATCGATTAAAATATTTTTATCAGTTTAACACAAAAAAAAACAGATAAGAATAACTGGCAGGTCCCTACTATAAATATAGAAATTTTCCAAAAATTAAATGTATATAGTCATAGTGATATGAGAAAAAAGAAAAACATGATTGATGAATTATAAGCATTCATAGGAGTCAATGCATTTTTTACACTATTTACAAGAGGGAAGAGACGACCATCCTGAGTCCACACTTTATCTTTTCCATATTTTTTCACAGCAGGTTTTAAGAGATCGTCGAGAAATGTTTAAGGATTCTTGTACAGGAGAATTAGGATATATTTTATGTGGTATAATCTATTCTCACAAGTTTTTATTTCATAATATCCCTGTTTAAAAGTAGAGCTTGCAATGCTTGTATTTCATTCACACTTTATATAAAAATCTTTAAATCCTCGTGTTTTCTATGATAATATTGTTGTTTGGGTGCATAAAATCCCGTTTTCCCAGCCCTAGCGCACATTTTATGACTGGATCAGGTTTCAATATTTGACATGAAAATAGAACGGTAACCGCAAAATAAATTTGATTCGTTGCGGCATGTCCTGATGCCGATGAAAAGTAAAAAATATTCGCATTTTGCGTTATTAACGTTATGAATATCTCAATTAAATTAAATTTAATAAATCCCGATATTGTCATTCGATTTATGGAGACTGCCGCAAACGTTAATTAAAATTTTAAAGTGGCTAATTCACTGACATTATTTGTTTTTGGTTTGGTGTCGAAGCCTTTTCGGTATTATACTAATGTGATAGATAAACAATTTGGCATTAACCAAAAAAACAAATCTATTTATTTGCATCAATCACATTGACGTACCTTTGGATTATTTACAGTTGTCAAATGTACAAATTGGTACAGCTATTATTATGGGTCAAAAATAGGTTTCATACGGGATAATTTATATAACCCTTTCCAAAAATTGCTATTAAAATACCTGGTTTATGTTTTTTTTTTGGCATAGACTCTTTGACACATCCAGTCACAAAATGGAAGAGGTAAATTAACAAACAAATAATAATGAATGAAAAAGAGGAAACATTAAATATTTAATTTCAAATAACAAGAAGATTAAACGGGGACACTCGCTTCTCGCCTAGGGACCCATCAAGGCATTACAAAAAAACAGACATACACTAGGTCACGGTAAGGGAGTAAAATAAAACAAGTACTAATCACAAGCGTATACCTGATTCCCTTAAAAAATTAATCATGCAGTCATAAATGTTTGTGGAATTGGAGGACAATAAACTTTGGATATTCCAAGGGGAGCATATTTTGCATTTAAGCAGGTCGTTATATAGCTTGTCAGAGAATTTTTTGTTTTTAGTACAATTAAAGAAGATATCGGCTAGATCTCGTTTTTCATTACACGTCTCGCATTGGTCACTTTCAGAGAATTTACTTTTGTATAAATAGCTAGGATAACAGGCATGACCAAATCTCATCCTAATGATTGTCGATATGTACTTGCGCGGTATTTTATAATGCTTGTACCAAGGGATCTTAGGAATGTTTAACTGAAGAGTCGTACAACTCGTTGGGTTTGTAAAACAATATTCCTACCACAAGGGTTGCCATTTATTGAACTGATAAATTGTATGACGTATTAGAACCTGTTACAGAGCCTTTTTTGGCCAACAAATCTACATGTTCGTTGTGCTTTAGCCCAATGTGAGCTTTAATCCAAATAAAATGCACATTTTGGTCTTTTTCTGAAAATGTTTGGATAAGTTTTTTAATTTTTATTATAAAAGGACAAGTCGATGTATTAGGAAGCCCTTTTTTTGCTAGATGTTAAAACAGAGAGGGAATCTGATACAATAACTATCGTTTCTCTGTTGCAGGAAGAGGCGTAAATAAATGCTTCATAGATAGCCGCAGCTTCCACAGTATAGATGGAACATTCTTTTCTAATTTTAAAAGATTTTTCTGTTCTCTTTAGGTTCAAAGAAAGCAGAGCCTACGCCATTAGCTGATTTGGACGCGTCCGTATATAATATTAAGGCATCTTCAAAATTATTTAAAATAACTGAGTAATATATTGCTACTTATAAATATATTTTCTTCATAGTTTGGTTTAAAAAAGGAAATGTCTGAATAAAAGCTAAAAAATCATTAATTAAATGTTTAATTAATGAAAAAAGATGCTCTACAGAGCTCATGTTAAATCATTCCAGAAATTACCGAAATTATTTGTCAAAATTTGATTTTTTGTTAAATTAAATTACTCACAAAGTACATAAATCTGTTATTTTTAGTTCGAACAACGAAATAAAACATCTCCATAAAGTTTTTCTTTACGTTCAAACAAATATAATATTTACAATGTAGGTAAAAGACAAATGTATCCCCTCAATAGAAAAAAAAAATCGAACCGATACATGTTCATAAATGCCATTGCGTGCAGAAAATTATAGCAATTGAAAAAAATGTATTTTACTTTAGGGTGTAAACACAATCGAAGCCTAAATCAACGATTCAATAAGGCATGTTTTCATTCAAATTTTATTGTTATTGTAAGCAATTCCTGTTATTTACTAGATATTTATTCAAAATATCAATCACTGAAAGAAAAAACCCGCCATAAAGAAAACATGTGTAGCTAATTATGTCGACATATGCCATTCCATTTTTAATAAAAAAAATTGCCTTCTACATGAATGAAGCAAAGAGAATATCAATAAAATATTTTTTTTACAAAAGAAGTTGCCAATGATAGTAAAATAATACGAATACCACACCTTTCTTTGAAATTAAGCGTAATTTTAAATTTATTAAATAAATAAATATTTTGTTTTCTAAATATGCAATTAAAAGTCGTAAGAAGAAGTAAGCAGACTGGAAAATAGGCACTACTAGTGTAAAAATTTAATAATTTTATTAAATATTATACTGAGCTTTTTTGACTTACAAAGCCATCATCAATTCCATCCTAAAAAGCGTAACAAATTGACAATTGGAATATTAATTGATGTAATACCAATCGGTGGATAAATTTGGTTTGCCCGAAAACTCATGTATTTGAGGAAACGTCTTTGTGTAGACTCTATCCGACAAATGTGAATTTGGATCCAAAATAAACAAGGCATATTCGAGTTTAGATCGAACAAATGAGAAATACAATGATTTAATAGTATTTGTGTTTTTAAAATCACGGCCCATCCGTACTATGAATCCATACATACGATTTGCTGCTGTTGAAATGTTATCTATGTGGTATTTAAACGACAATATTGGGTCAAATGTAACCCCTAAATCCATAATCAAATATAACTGGTTGCGCTTTTAATGTGTATGACATTAAGTTACATTTGACGGGATTCAGTGTAAGGCCATTTTTGTTGCACCATTCAACAACTTTGTTCAAATTTTTCGACAACCGTTCACAATCAGAAATATTTTCAATAGCTGAATATATTTTTAAGTCATCAGCATACAGCAAAAAATCAACATTTATTGCGTCACCCATGTCGTTGATAAAAATATTAAATAACAGCGGACCCAAATTTGAACCTTGCGGTATACCAGAGGTGACGCAATATTTTTAGACTTGAATCCATTTAATTGAACATATTGTGTTCTTTGAGAGAGATACGATTAAAAAAGTGTGATCAAACTATTAGAAAGACCAAATACGCAGAGTGTCTGTATCATAATAATATGATCAAGTCTATCAAATGCTTTTGTGTAGATGACGTCAGTTTGGACCCGATACTCAATATTTTCAGCTATTTATTGTGTGATTGCAGAAAGTTTTGTTACTGTGGAACGCCCTTTAACAAAACCATGTTGCTGAGTTGAGATTGCGTTACAGACAGTAATATTTCTAGAATTTTGCAGAAATTGCAAATGATAGAAATCGGCCTATAATTTTTGATATCAGTACGTTCACCTTTTTTAAAAATTGGGCAGACTTTACAACATTTCCACATCGAAGGAATTGTTTTGGATTTAAGGCAGATATTTATCAAAATAGAGGGCGAGCTAATACTGCTGAACAATCTTTTAAAATGAACGCAGGAATATGATCCGGTCCTGTGGTACGTTTAGGTTTAATGTTTTTTAAAGCATCCTGGATCTGAGTTTCACAAAAATTAATTATAGATTCATTATCTCAGTACCTATTCGCAAAAGTCACTTCACATGTCAAAATTGTTGAATATTCTGTTCATAAGCATAGAATAATAATTAGGCATTCCAACGACCTGTCAAACAATAGGTGACAGTAGGAAATTCTTGTATATTTAAGGGGGTAGCGACATAGTCTTGCAACTTGGACGCTATTTTTATTCGAAGTAGTACTCGCCAAGCCTGCCAATTTATGAAGAAATGTATAGGTAGGTTTTTTAAATATTATTTTTATTGTGTTTGACATAAAATATTTAAATGTAATCCATTATTCATGATTTTACGTAAAGTAGATAGAATACACCATATGTCGCTACCCTTAGATATACCAAACCTGCCTACTGGTAATTCATTTGTTCGGAATGCCTAATTGCATCCTGTTTTTGTCAGCAATTTTTAGTGACTATAATGTTATGGTTATTAAAAAAAAATTTAAATATTGGACAAAAAATGTACTTACTAGTTTTCGATCGGGGTTCTCGTGGTCCATCTACGGTAACTTTAATGGCTTTCATATACGTGGCCACTTGTGGTGGACTCGACGATATTGTGATGGTGATGGAAAACGACTTTCCTGAAAAAAATAAAATAATTGGTTCAGAAAAACCTATTTAGAGAGTTCAAAGTTGCATCAAGTCAACTTTTTTTAGCATGCGTACCTACTTAAAAATTTCTTAAATAAAGATTGTGGCATGTTTGGCTCAAAAACAATCCCGAAAATCTTGTTTTTCGCTTAATTTATTTAATTTTAATTTATTTATTCTTCTTTATCATCAGCCATGAGCTGCATACCATTGTTCTAAATAACTGCTATTTTTTTTAAACATTTATAAAATGATTTATAGTTAAAACTTTTCATTGTCTTAGTACTATCTATAATAAATAATGTTTTGTTTATTTTACCAATTAAAACAACCCTTATATATTTTTAAACGTTTAGAACAAATAATTTAACGTTAGAATAAACTACATTCTGATTCTTTTTATCTCTATATATTTGTCGGCACTTTCCAAAGAGCGTTGCAGGACAAAGCTAAAAATTAAGCGTTTGCAGAGGTTTGTCGTATGCGAGAAAAATTAATGTTAATATATTAAAATGCAGTAAATGTCATATAAAGCATTATATTTTACTGCCCGTCAACAGATGTCATTGCTTGAGATAGCAATTATTGTCAAAACAAAATTGATTCTGACAACGGAAGATTTATTAGTACCTAGATAAAGGCAACCATTCAACCGCATGAGAAGGTTTGGGCGATGAACATTATATAATATCATGTATGTTACATTTTGAAATTGTTATTTATGGATACAGACATTTTACAGTTACAGTTTAGGTATAGTTCTTCCATTATCAATTGCAGAACATAAAAACTCGTTCGGAACCTTTACAATTTTGTTTGATCTGCCATAGGCGTAGATACCTACCTCATTTTATAAATAGTTTTAATATATATCATATGCAAGAAAGTATTCGTTAAAAGGAAATCGAATCATTATAAATTGGACGTTATTATACGCCTTGATTTAGACAGATGCACTTAATTGTAGTCTTACTTGAACTTAAAAAATCTCATTATAGCTCGTTAACTTGCTACAACTGAATATTAAATTATAAAACGTAAAAAGAGAGTAAAGTGTACCTGCATGTAAGGGCGTTTGGTTTAAAGAGCTACCAGACGTGAACTGAGCCGTTTTTGTACCCCATTCGTTTTTTTTTTCTGGAAAACTAAATTTCAAAGCAAAAACCATAAAGGAAAATAAATTCTTTGCAAATAAAACAAAAGAAAAAAAGACAATTCAATAAAGTATCTTTATAAATAATCATGGCAGTCTGAATCCTTTGAACTAGAGTCATCATTTGGTTGAATTATGATGGGTTGTAAAGAGGGTAATACTGCATACTCATCTTCTTCTTTAATAACATGTTCGACGCAGTTGTTTTCCAAAGCTCTTGGCGGTCTGCTGCTAGAACTTTCTTTACGAGTTCTACAACCTCTTTACTCAGTTCTGGAGACTGATTACATTTTCGTAATTCTGATTTTACGTTTGCCCATATTAACTCTATAGGGTTAAATATGCAATAGTAAGGAGGTAGTCTGAGAAAAGTCTGACCCTGTTCTTTGCACAGCTTGTCAATATAATAAATTTTTTCCAACTTCATGCCTTTAATAACAGTAAGCAATTCTTTGTTTGTTGGGCCTTTTTTACGATCACTGGCAGGAATAGGAATATTTTTTTCAGACATAAACGCTAAAATTTGAGCTTTGTTACTGCTACTATTTGGTATTTTTTGTATTTTTGGTATTACTGACTGGTGGAATGTTAGATAAGAGCTGTTCATTAAACCATTTTTCAAATAATTTTGCTGTCATATCTTCATGATAATCAGATGCACAGTTTTTAGTTTGTTTAAAAGATAATAATAAAGCATTAGGCACGAAACCGTCTTTGCTTCCAGCGTGTACTATTATAATACGTTTCCCTTTAGAACATGGCCCATTCAAACAGCAATTTTTACTACTGTCAATCCAACCGAAATTTACTACATCGTGACTATCAAACCATGTTTCATCTAGATAAATTATGTGTCTATTAAATCTTCTGTACTCTTTTATCTGACGCAAATAATCTTGTCGCCATTGAACTATCCTTGACGATTCGGTGATTGCCATCCGTTTATTCATTTTTTTGTGTTTAAAACCACATGCTGACAAAACTTGACGCAATGTTTCCAAACTGGGGAAAATCTGATACCTTTTGCTGTATTACTTCCAATGTTGGAACCCTGTTCTCCTTATATAAACTATAAATTGTCCTTCGTATAAAATCTTGGGTAGCTCTGTCAACTGATTTCAGTTTTTCTTTACATGTTTTTCGGTTTTGTGAATGATCCACAGCAACCCCTTTTATAACTACCCGATAAATGGAAAATTTATTTACTTTAGTTAATTCAGCAATTCTTATTATGATCGCATTATCAGACTGCTGAATATTTTCCTTTTTTAAACATTCAAATATATTTAAAATAACTTGTTATGTTTGTATATTCAAATCCTTATTGTTAAAGTCATACCTGTCTATAATCTCACTACACTGTGCAATTTCATTTTCTTCATTCGCCCACGGTCTAAAGAACGCCATATTTATATTTATTAAAAGAAATTTAACCACACATACAAAACACACTGCACGACAGTACTCCACTGATATCGCAGACTGTCTTCCAGGAATATTTTCGAACACTCCTCCTCTTCGTAAACCTTCGGCCAATACAGTGCATTTAAGTTTACGATTCGATGTTTTCATTGGTTAACAGCGGAGATGATGGATTTTGACACATATATCAAGTACACGTTGACTGACCGTTCCTTTAATATTTACCGCATTGTATAAGGGAAGTAAACATTAATTTTCGTTTCTAAATTTGGCATGAGTGCCGTGCGTATATATTAAATATTGATGATTCCCCACATAACTGTGTTCTGCAATTGATATTGGAAGGACTATAGCAAGATTATTTTTCTAGAATAATTTTTTTTTTTTATTTTTCATATTTGTTAAGCAAATAATTTATTCAACCCACAAACAATAAAATTAAATCTATTTTTTTTCTACGACTGGTTAAATAGTGACTTTTCTGTACTCATTTTATTTCAGAAAGTTTCAGTGCAAGAATAATTATTAGATTAGAATATTTATATATTTAGCTTATATCTTTAGAAAAATCTGTCTACTTCTGGCTTTACTTCGAAAATGAATAGGTTTTTGATCAGTCGTCAAGTTCAAAACTCATATCCTACCGGGTGAAATTTGAAATTAAAAAGATATTGAAATCGCTACACAGCTATTAAATTCGTTGACTTTACTTTAACCTTATTATGTTGCTTTTAAAGTTATTTTTATAAACATTTGATTAATATTGAGTAGACATTTAAAAATACTGGTAAAACGTGGATTTTTATACATAAATCCACAGCCACATCCGCAGGTTGTTGGTGAACTACTTTCGTCGAAATCACCGCAAAACTTTGATAAAAATTAAATTTAAATACCGTATGAATAATATATTTTTTTGTATCACTGTTAGATGCAAAGTTGTTATCAGGAATAAAGTAATATTATAATAAAAGGAAAATATGTTACGGGAAGTTGATGATTGGAATATGACGTAAATATGATAAAATTAACAGTTTCTGAAAAAAATCCGAATTGTAATATTAATTTAATGCGTAAAGGAAGGAAAACAGAAGACCGGCTCTATGTCATAAAACTACTTTGCAACTGTTTTTACTTTACACATTGCAAATTTTAGTAAAAAAAGACATTTGACAAGTTAAAAAGTAACTTTGGTTCTAACAGATAAAATAAATTTTAAATAATTCTATTTAGTAAGAATTTTGAGAAACAAACCTCACTCAGCTCCATGCTTGGGCAAGAGACAATCAACAAAAAGCTGATATGTTCGCTGACCACCTACAGAAGACGTTCCAATTAGATAAAAATCAAGACACTCCTAATGAGACCACCCATAATATGGAACAATTTAAAATTAAGCTAGTTACTCCCAATGAAGTTATGAAAGAAATTCAGACAAACATCAACTCACAGAATGCCCCAGGATATGACCTTATTACTGGAGAAATATTAAAGAAACTACCAAGGAAAGCTATTGTTAAATTGACATACCTCATTAATGCAGCATTTCGCCTTAAATATATACCTGATGCGTGGAAAATGGCTAAAGTTATTCTAATTCCTAAGCCAGGAAAACCTCTGAATGAAGTGCCATCATATAGACCTATATCATTGTTAACGATAATATCTAAGCTATTTGAAAAACTACTACTAAAACGACTAAAACCAATAATTGAAAATAAAAATCTGATCCCTTCGCACCAATTTGGTTTTAGAAACAAACACTCGACAATAGATCAAGTACACAGGATAGCCGATATCATCTAAAAAGTTTACGAAGAAAAATATATAAATCAGCTATATTTCTTAACGTAGCCCAGGCATTTGACAAGGTTTAGCACGCTGGCACAATACAGAAACTTGAAAAAATGCTCCCTAGACAATATGTCGACATTCTACAATCATATCTAACGGGAAGAATGTTTAGAGTAAAGCAAGACGAGGCATACTCCGAAATGAAAGAAATTAAAGCAGGTGTCCCACAAGGCAGTGTGCTAAGACCGGTTCTTTACTTATTATACACCAGCGATATCCCTCAACAACAATCTGTTAAAATAGCAACATTTGCGGATGAAACTGCAATATTGGCAGTTGGCGGAACTAATACAGAGACCCCAGAAAAACTTCAGGAAACCTGCAACAAAATCAATCGATGGGCAAAAAAGTGGAAAATAAAAATAAATCAAACTAAATTAGTGCATGTTGATTTTACTCTTCGACCAAATGAACAAAAACAAATAAAAATAAACAATGACGTTATTCCGCATCACGATTCGGCCAAATATTCGAACCTAGGATGAACCTAGATGTAAGACTTAAATGGAAAGAGCACATAAAAAAATCGTAAAGAATTTGAACTTAAATTCAAAAAAAATGTATTGGCTCCTAGAAAGAAAATCCAAATTGTCAGTGCACAACAAACTGCTGATTTATAAACAAATCCTAAAACTAATCTGGATTTATGGCATACAGCTATGGGGATGTGCCAGCAAGAGTAATATCAACATGATACAAGTCCGAAATAAAGTCCTAAGATGCATTGTTGATGCACCTTGGTTCTACCGAAACGATTATCTTCATAGAGACCTGAAGATGCCAACAATCGAAGAAGAAATAAAGAGGTTTGCTGCGAAACATGAGGGTCGACTCCAGTCCCACGTCAACGAAGAAGCGCTGCAATTACTGAACAACTCTACACTTATTAGAAGACTCAAAAGGAAGAAACCATTTGAGCTAGTGCAGTGAACGTTAATGTTAGTGCTAGTGTAACACAGTGTAATAAATCGTCACGCCAACTTGTGATGCTTTCCTATAAAAACAATTAAGACAGCCCAATGGGGACTTCTTAGATAAGCAATTAGTTATAAAATTTTTAATTAATTAATGACTAATACTTTAACAAAAAAAAACCCCATGCTTAACACGATCTTGGTAGTAGATAGTATGCTATGTCTTGTAAATTCAAAATGAAAGTCTGACTATTTGAAACTGATACTCTTCTTTTTTGTAAAGCATTTTAAGTTGCATCATCACGATAATGTATCAGTACATCTTTTTATTTATTGCCAAAAATCAACTGAAAAGACAATATTTTGACACTGATGATCTTAATCCTTCATTAGGCCACTACGTAAATTACGAAACAAATTTAAAAAAAAGACCATTAATGATGCACCGAATAACTCTTTCCAAATTCTACGTTATTTTAGAGATGCACGCAAAGACGCACCGAGTATTCATTCCTTTGCGAATGCCACATGTGAGTTTGAGCAATTATTGTAATTTTTCTACATAAATGCGGTGAAATAAGAAATACTGGATAATATTCACAAATTATTAGACGCCCATGTCGCGTGCCATGTGCGGTTTCAATGGATGTTGTCTGTTTGTATTTCTTTTATTTTTTTAAGGTGTATCTAGTCATGCAAGATGTGTTTTCGAAGGGGTTCTGCCTTTTTAACTTTTAACATTTAACTTCTTATTGTATCGAGAAATATTATTTGAAGCAAACTTTGCTTTATTTCAAACAAATATAATCTTCCAAGTGTAAAGCTTTTCTTGAATGTAGATGATAATTTTTTTCTGTGTGGCTCCAAAATTTTCTTCGACTATTCTCCAATTAATTAGAGTTCGAAAAATGCCATTCAACATGTAATTGGGGTGGAAAACGATTACGTTAAATATTTGCCAACATTAAATAAATTAATTATAAATTTAGTGAATATTTTTCCAATACAGTGGAAGGAAAATAAATTTTGTAGTATAGTCATTCATCATTATGACCCTAAGAGTTTACAGTTTTGGTAGTGGAATAATTTGCTGATTTTCGTTGTTGCTTCTAATTTCAGCGATAAATTTAGGCAAACAAATTTCATCCTCTATTACGATGTTACAAAATATTTGAGCATTTCCTTGCACCACTTCACATGTATCTGTTTTTATTCTTCTCTCAAGTTGTAAAGGATATAATGAAAAATCATATAGGTATGTATAATTAAATTAAATTAAAAACGTCCCGCTATTAGAGAAAAATAATCAACGCGTGTTCTAATGATTGACTTCGCAATATATATAGTTCTGTAATTTGCTGGTGAATTTTAGGACAGCGTCTATAGTTAAATGAATACATTTTCAACGAAGAGATGAGTATCTGTGACCACCGAACGTTTTATTGTTGTCGATTGTTTCATCAAAACTCGTTGTATTCCTCTCTACTGATTGGAACAATCATTACAACATTGTCTGTGTATACTCTATACCCTAAACGTTCCCGTTTTCAACCAATTTCTACCCCAACGGTATAATTACGATCCTGAACTGGTTTAGTTTTGTCTTTAATTTAAAATTCTAGTCCGAAATCGATGATGACGTTATAAATGAGTTTCTTGTCAGCGAACAAATGTGCGTACTCCAGCTCCAATTACTGTAGGCATAAAACTACGAAATATAATTGAATGAATTTTTGGAAACTTCCATATAAATCTCTAAATTACTCCTACGAATAATGAAAATTATTTTGAAATGTCAAAGTGACAACAAATTTATAGAAAAATTGAAGAGAAAATGCTTGTGATCATGTTAAGTTCAGAAAAATCGCGTTTATGCTATATCCCGACTTTCGTTAAAAAACACAAATAACGGGTCACGTGGCCAAAATTTCTATACTGGAAGTAGCCAAACTGGACGACATAAAATGCTTGCAAATATATTTTTTATTACCATAAACGCCTAGAAACATATTATTTCATTGCCAGTAAAAAAATTAAAAATCCATCGATAAGAACCTTTACTTTGAATTTGACAGCTCCCATTACCTAAAAATTGTAGTAGCCAAGTATATAACCAATTTACTATAAAACAATTTGAGAACTAATATGTATACAAATAGCACATTCCAAAAACGAGAAACTTTAAAAAACCGGTCCTAATTGAATAAAACTGGACAAGCCAAAATGGTTTGTTACTGTGTTACTTACATTTTCACTTAAAGACATAAATAATGTATCATCTGCATACATTATGGAATTTTGTACTGGAAAAGTGTTTATATAAATCATATATAGTAGTGGCCATAAAATAGAACCTTGTGGTAACCCAATTTTACATCTAATTTGTTTAAATTTAGTTTGGTTAATAGCCACATAGTGAGATCCTTACAGGTAGAGTAAGCAACACCTCTAAAACCGTACAAAATACGTCGATATACTAGATCAAAATTTATTGATTAAAAACTTTATTATAATTACTCACCCCTTCCACTCCTCCCAACGAATCTCAAATCGTTGAATTTGGCGACTTGGTTCTTCATAACAGCCGTGCAATTTCTCAATTCAGCGCAGCAGTTCTCATCATTTCCCGCTCTAATAGTAACGATAGTACCGTCCCCAATATCGCCCACGGCCACTACTTTGAATGCAATTGGCAACGTCTTATTGGACCGCCAATGATTCGGCAACTGCGTGCAAAGAATGTACGGACTACCAGTTCGAACGAGTTCGCCGGGATGCTCTGACTGAATTTCGTGAATCCTATGTTCGAACCAATAGAATTCCGGGCTTTGGTATGCTGAAGATGTTTCGCACATGGCAGATTTTGGCCACGCTTCTTCAGAAACGTTGCAAGTTTGGACTGAGACTGGTAGATGCATCACCTGATGTATGAGGGTGGATCCCAATTTCGAAAATTTAAAATAACATTGCCTGTAAAGAAAAATTTAGTCATAAGTAATGTGGACGCTGAAAGGGTATTTTTGTTCAAAATAAACAATAAGCAGGTGACATAATTTATTCTATATTAGTTTAATGTCAGTGGTAATATACAGTATGTTCGCTATACTTACGCGGGTTTCGGATTAACAAAATTATGCAAATTAGCCATTGACAACCAGTTCCAATAAGCCTCTTTCCAAGAAATTAGGTAAAATTTCCCTAATGGTCAGATTTAAATTAAAATAACATTAGGGTAGGTACTAAATTTGTTGCAAATATTGCAGTTGAATTGATTCTTTGCAAGTGTTGACATTGTATGTATATTGTAAATTAAGTGGAAATTTTAAAAATGCCTAGACGTGTGTTAGATGTAAATAGTCTAATTTGTAGTGTATTTTACAGATGAAAAAGAAAATGGCGGTCCTTTAAAATCGGTAATGTCTGTACAACAACGCGTATGCGATGCTCTAGAAATTAGTGAAACCAAATTAAGAGGAGTATTACAAAATCACAATAGTGAACTGCCAAAAGAAGATCACCGCAAAACTTGCCCATCATTGAAAACGAAAGATATTCCAGATGGAAAGAAATTTGAAATTCGTGATTCCATTTATCGAATGAGGGCCAACAAGGAATATGTGACCTTAAATACAATTCTCTCGGAATTAATAGATAGAAAATTTGACGACATTGGCAGAACAAGTCTATGGCAAGTGAGTCATAACTTGGGTTTCAAATTTCAAAAGGAGGATAACAGAAAGGCCTTTTGTGAAAGAAGTTCTGTTGCACAAGAGAATTAACTTTCTAAGAAAATATTCTAAATTTAAAGAAGAAGGGGCGAATTTTATATATTTAGACGAAACATGGATATTTTCTAGGGGTGCAACCAAGAGAATATGGCAAGATGATAACGTAAAGTCCATCAAACATACCGATGGAGAAGGGAAGCGACACATAATTTTACATGCATGAGGGAAATCGGGTTTTATAGAAGGTGCTGATTTAATATTTTCATCTAAATCAAAATCCAGTGACTATCACGATAATATGAACACAGAAATGTTTGTAAAATGGTTGCATGAAAAACTTCTCCCAGGTTTAAGTGAGCCCAGCGTAATTATTTTAGACAATGCACCTAACCTTTCTGAAGTATTAAACGAAAGTCCAACGAATTCTTGGACTGTTGATAAAATTAAAGAATGGTTGACAAAGGAACATATACTATTTCCTCAATATATATTAAAATCAGAATTATTACGCTTGGCAAATATACACGCAAAACCAAAAACCTTTGTTGTGGATCAGAATATTGAAAGTTACGGTCATCAAGTTTTACGTCTGCCACCGTATCATTGCCAGTTTAATCCCATCGAATATATATTGGGAATAGCAAAACAATATTATAACAACCATATTGGGCCTAATGGTTATAGTGACGACGCAGTTCGGGAAACTTGGCGAAAAGCACTTTCAATTGCAACTCCAGAAGTGTGGCGGAACTGTATATCCAAGTGCGAGAAACTAATAGAAGATTGGTGGACTCGTGAAAATAAAATAAACGAAATAAGTCCAATCATAATAACAATTAATGGTGATGACAGTGATGATGACGATTATGATATTTTGGATGATAATGACTGATTTTCATTTTTGTTGGCATATTTTCTGTGTAATATAAAATTATTATTAGGTTTATAATAGCCACATTAGACTCCATTAATGAAGAATTTTAATTCTGCTCTCAATTATACAAAAGATTTAATTAAAAAGGTGTACATTATTTTTCATTTCATTTAATCAGTTGCTATTTTCCCAAAAAACAGGTGAAACTTTCGGGTACTTACCTGGAAATACTCATAAAATGTTTAATCCGAAACCCGCGCAAGTATAGCGAACAGACTGTATGTTAAATTTAATTTGTTGATATTAAGAGTATTGTCCGATATTAACCGAAATATAGGTTACTCTGATTGACTTCTTTGAAAAACCGATTACATTTGGTACGCGGTTACCTGAAAATGGTGACTCAAATGTTTATTTATTAAATAGTTGTCTTTAGGAACCACTTTCAAAAAATCATGGTTAGTTACGGTTAATAGTCGGTTAATATCGGACCATACCCTATATGTATATTCCATAGATCTAGACCCACTTCATCAGTTCCGACTGCATTGGATTTTGTACTTAACAACGTCAATATCATTTACTTTATTGCAAAAAAAGCTCCTTTTTTACAGTTAGTATTTCGATTCAGACGATTTAATAAAAAAATCGTTTAAATTTTAGCTAATAAATAGACCAGGTTTAAAATGATAGTTTTACATTAACACTGTCATTTTAAGGCATTATTTCGGTAGCCGCGTCAAGAGACAGGAGACCACTGGGGAGACCAGTAGGACGACAGATGCATAAATGTTACGCTACGTACATTTCGGAAGCTTGAAGAAGCTTTCGAGAGAACGATCAGCGTTGCCAGACCTACTGTTTTTACGTAAATCCAGTGTTTTTGTCTCTAGTAAATTTTGTTCTTAATTTATTAAGTTTGCCTCATTCTTCAGCCAATGGTTAAAGAATATTTTCTCTAGTAAATTTTCTGCAGTAAAAGCAGCGTAATAAGCAGCCACTATTGTAGGTTGGCTCCATAAAAAAAAAAACATCAAGATAATCATTGTTTTTATTTAAAATGAAACAAAGAATTAATAAGGCATCATAAAAAGAACATGCATATGCCAAACACTACGATTTTGAATTATCTGATTCAGACTGATCTAAAAGAAGTAGGTACTTATTATTTATCATTGCTTTTTTTTCCTGTACGTTAAGTATATAATAAAAATGTTTTTATTTGTTTTTATTCTTTGTTTACTTTCTAATTTGGGTAGAAAAAAAGTTTATTTTTCGTTTCTTATATACTTGTTTTTTTATTTACTACACTGCAAATTATAATTATTTCCCGCTGTATTAAAATCTACGTTTTTTTTTACCCATACTGTACCAAAATCTGGCAACGCTGCCTAGATCGAAAGAAATTTCCATCCTAATCACCCTCAAAATGAACCGATGCTCGAGGACAGTGACCCCGAGTGCGAAACACAGCAAACCTTTGCCCCGAGGCAGATTCAGAAGTGTCTCCAGGAAGTGTCGTCTTGACGACACTTCTCGTGTCGCGCCGTGCGAAATGTGTTTCATATAATTGTATGTATTTTAGATGTGAAGCGACACTTCTCAGTCGCGTCGGCGGTCGTATGTCGCGTCGGCGGTCGTCTGTCGCACCTACCGAAATGGTATCTTTAAGCTTCATTCGTAATTTAAACTTCGTTTAACACAAGGGTGGAATCGATCCTTAAATTATCCGGTTATCTTTTCTACAAAAAAAAAACGTTTATATGTTTCTTTTAATTTGTTATAACAATTTAGAATCGGATGAATTCTATCTTTTTTTTGCGTTTGATAAATAAAATTTTAAAAATTCAAAATGTTATCCAAACTCGTTCAATATATGAAATAGTACAAGCACCTACTTGTACGTGTGTTTAAAACACCAGCTTTCGGTAGCCCGGAGCTGTTTAAACCAACATGCGGTATGCGGTTTCGGCAAACCACTCTGTAGGTATTTAGTTAAAGAGTGGGCTGCTGGTTATTTTGTTTTGATGCCACCATTAATCCTGCTATGATGATGTAAATTTTTCAATTCGTTATCTAGGCCTTTCATTAAATAAATCTGCAATGTTTTGTCCTGAATAAAAATTTTTGATTCTCACCTAAATTGAGTTTCCTACTCATTTAAAAAAAAAATTAAGAATTTTATAACAAGCTATTGGTGTAACAGGATACATAGATCATAGTAAAATTCTGCTAAATTAATACAAAAACGTCAAATAATACATATTGGTTACTTATAGTAATACATTTTATTTTAAATAATTTTATCTCTTCCTGTATCCAGAGAAAATCTTATGTTTGTTATTAAACTAAAGAAGAATCCAGAAGAATGGACTTCAACTATAAGAAATAGTATACAACTGCAGCGGTACCTAGCAGTTAGTCTTCAATTTTGTAATATTTAATTTGTTTTGAAATATATTTAATTTTCATTAAGCGGAGAACTTGTTATCCTAAGGGAAAAACGAATGACGGGATTCCTTTCCAGTGTGTGCCCCACTGCCGCTAGTGCCCACGAGCCGCCACTGAGTAATTGAAATGTTGAACCATATTTTTTTATTCAAACAGTGTCTTCTTAATTTAAATAAACGAATAATTTCTCTGATCTAAATCTGAACGATTTATAAACTTTTTTTGTACTAATTTAAACAAAAAACTGTTTTGTTTCTGATCAAAAATGGATACGTATAATCACCAATTCTTGCAAAATTCTTCAACTGATCTATATAACACACTGTGTATCGTCCATATATTTTTAGAATAATGAGGAAAAATACATAAAACAACTGGCAAGTTTGCAATAATGATGATTCATGTATTTTAATTATTTTAAATAATAGGCTGAATAGCTAAAAATTACCGGGAGGCTCCGTAAATTTCTCTTAGTCATTCAAATTTATAAATAAAAATAAATATCGCAATATATATAATTCGCGGCATAGGTCATGGTTAAAAAACCTTATATAACTATCCAGTTAGGGAATAGAGGGATTCACTACCAATAATTGTATGGTAATCGCGAAAACGTGACTAATTTGAAAATAATATTTATTTTTAATAAGAAATATCTAGGAATACTAAAATCAAAACTTATTTATAGTATGAGAATTTATTAGATTTTCAAAAACAATTTTGATGTTTTATGACATTTTTTCGGGGTGTAAACTTGTATTTATTTTGCTCATAATTCATTTAAAATTACGTACCTATAGCTCGTCATACAAACAGTTTTTGCCTACAATTTTGTGAAATTTATCAATAGTAATAGAGTAATAGTACAATATTATATAATAGGTACTTATGATGTAATTGTTTCATTTTAGAGCAAGTTGAATACCAGTTATTTTTCGCCAAAAAATCTGTATTTTTAATTGTAATAAATTACTCAGGCGTCAGTATATACAGAGTGTTTCATAAGTACAGTTAAGAATTACATGAAATAGAAATAGAATTTATTCATCTTTGAGAATTATACACTATACAAAGACACTAGATACATAATGTAAAATCCTATCAGACTAGTCAAAAGAGTGTTAAGTAAAATACATTAAAAAATAAAATATATATAATAGACAATTCATGTTAAGATTAGTTTAAAAGTTCAAAAAAATCTTCTATACTATAAAATACATTATTTACAAGAAAATCATTAAGATGTTTTCTTAAATCATTACGACTAATTTGATGATAACCTGTAGTATCTTCTAATATATTACTGAACTTATTGTAACACTTAATCCCAATATATTTTGGTGAATGCTGGCTTATTTGTAGTCGTGAAAAAGGTTGATGGATGTTAAATTTTAATCTAGTATCATATGAGTGCAGGTCTTTATTTTTCTTAAATATATGCTCATTATCTTTTATGTATAAAATTAGTTGAAAAATAAAAAGGGAAGGTAGTGTTAAAATTTGCGTTTTCTTGAAAAGTTCTTTACATGATGTTGTTGGTGTCACCTTATCCATGGCTCTCAGAACCTTCTTTTGAGATACAAAAGCTCTTTCAAAGTATGGTGAAGAACCCCAAAATATTAACCCATATTGTAGAGTAGAATGAACCAAACCAAAATAGCATAGTTTTAAAGTATCAAAAGATAGTGTCTCCCTTAAATTTTTGATGATATAACAACAAGTACTTAATTTTGAAGTTATCATTTTTATATGAGCTTCCCAATTTAATTATATTAAAATATTATTCCTAAAAATATGTCATCAACGCTTTGAATAGTTTTTCCGTCAACGTGCAAGTAGGGTTCGTAATCTGGTAATATGTTTTTGGATAGAAATTGCATGAAGTTTGTTTTTGTTACATTTAATTCCAGACCATTATCTTTACAATACTGGTTAAACTCACGAGATGCCTCGTTGCTACTTTGAGTGACCTGTTCAATTTGATCATCTGCCATTACAATATTGGTATCATCGACATATTGAACTATTTGTTGAGAGCTTAAACAAAAATTACTTATATCACTTAAACTATAAAAAGAAGTGGGCCCAAAATTGAATCTTGTAGAACTTCTATTGTACATAGAAGAGGATCCGATTTTAGACTATTTGTTATAATTACTTGAGTTCGATTTATTAAGTAAGACTGTATCCATTCATAAGGTTTCCCTCGTATTCCTAACTCATTCATCTTCAATAATAAAAGATTGCTTGATATATAAACTCTAGGCAAGCTGCAATTGCAGTACATGTTGACTAATTTTTTCTAAATCCATTTTGAGTATCTGGCAACAAATTAAAACTTTCAAGGTAATTAGTGAGTCTAATAAAGTATGCTGACTCAAATATTTTAGTTATTTGACTAGATATACAGATTAAACGATAATTTTCTTTATTAGCTGGAGATCCCTTATTTTTATAAACAGGAATTCCTTTAAATTCCTTCATATTTGGGAATAATCCCGAAACAAAGGATTCATTAATCAAATGTTATATGGGTTCAGCAATACAATGAGCAACCGATAACAGAATTTTACCATTTATTTCGTCAATACCTTCAGTGGGTTTAGAAGTAGTTTTTTTGATTATAGTGATGATTTCACTAGGAGTTGTTGGAAAAAGAAAAAACTTTTATGATGTCTATCAATACTCATAGTATAGTTAGGTACAATATTATTTTTATTTACATTAATAAAATAGCCATTGATATAATTTACTTTTTCTAAGCGTGTTAATTTGTCATCATTTGTAAGTTTAATAGGATTCAATAAGTTGTTTTTTCTGTTTCCCCTACTCTCGTTTATTATATTCCAGGATTCTTTCATTACGTTATTACTTTTTAAAATACGATCATTTTTTTTTCTCAAATATTGTTTTGTTATTTTTTGATACTCTTTTTTTAAATTATTGTAACGTTCTGTATAATATGTAGAATTTATTTCTTTCTTTAACCTGTTCATTTCACATAATAGATTATATACCTACTTCTTTAATATGAGGTGGAAACTAATTTTTTAATTTTTGTGGTTTTATCGCTTTCTTTGTTTTCGCAAATACAATATTGTAATGGTATATAGGAATGATTCATAAAAGATAGAAAATGTACCATTAAAATTTGTAGATGTGTATACTTCACGCCAATTTTCAACTGATAAAATATTTATAAAAGTTATTGCGTTAGGATCACTTAAATCTCGTTTATATCTGTATTTAAATTCGTTATTTTCAAAATTAGGTAGTTTAATCGAACATAATGAGTAGTTATGATCAGACAAATAAGTATCATATACACCCACCTTATCTACATCAAAATTGGTAAAAAAAACTATCTAAACAAGTTGAGGTTGTACTTGTTGTTCTCGTTGAAACAAGCAAATATTGAAATATGTACCTTTTTTTATAAAATATATAATAAAAAAGTATAAATTTGCTTAAAATGATATTAAAATGAAAATTTTAAGTAGAAATTAAGCTCTATATGGGGACAAAATCTATTGATTTTAAAATAAAATATCCTAAATTAAAAACGAAAAGCGAAAATAAAATTTTTAGTAAAACTGAAGCTCAATAAGAAGATAAAGTATTGATTCTAAAAAAAATCTGAATAAATTGGAGGGTTAAGGGGGGTTAAAATATAAAAAATATAAAAAAAAATCCTAAAAAACGAAAAATGATATCAACTTGAAATGTTTAGCAAACGTCAAGCTCTATAAGGAGAAGAAGCATTTCGATTTTTCAAAAAATCTGATTAAAAATGGGTGTTTAAGGGGGGTTGAAATAAAAAAAAAATCATAAATCAAAACTGGAAAGCCATATCAACATGAAATTTTTATTTAAAATCAAGTTCTATAAGAGGATGAAGCCTGTGGATTCTGAAAAAAATCTAATTGAAAATAGGATTTGTTAAACTGTTAAAGAGTATAATTTAGTTTGCAACTGTTATGTATTGTGATGGGACCGATCTTATAAAATAAACATTTTAGTTTACTTGTTTTATTTGCCAATAAATGGTTTTTAAAAAATATATTATTTGCCTTGGTCCTTTATGTAAAATTTTGGTAAAGATTTAAAAAAATATCTACTAGGTAAAATTATAAAACAATTGCAAATTTTGCAAAACAGAAATGCGAAAAATCTAAATATTGATAAAGAAACGTTACAAAAATACAAAAAATAAAAACGAAAATTGGTTTATATTTTCTAATTCGGAGATAATATTAATAATAATAGATTTAAAATTATAGTTTACCGTAGAAATGATAAAAAAATAATTATTAAGCATTTATAAATTTGTTACATATTCGCAGGGCCGCCGAGAGCCAGGCCGGGCCCCAGGACAATTCTCTAGATCGGGCCCCGTGAAAAAAAAAACTTTAACCAAAAACTGTTCCTCTTCTACTGAAATAGAATTTTTTCTAAAAAAAAAAAAGGTCCTCACATCAAAAAACTATTATTCTCCCTGCTTTAATTACTCTTCTTCTAAAAAAAAAAAATCCTGTGAAGATACACTTTTTCAAGTTTTTTGACATTACTAGTATATAATCTAAGCCAAAGCTGTATCTGATTACTTTAAAAATTACCTAAGCTATAACTACCTATATTTAAATAATGTTATTGTTCAACAGTAGACATCACTAACGGGTAAATAAAATAATTAACTTGTAAATTTATTATAAATGTTTGATTTAAACAATAATATTGTAGTTTACAGCTGATGAAAATTCCAGAGAATCCCTTTCAGACTAAATATATACCTAATATAAATAAAGTTTCGCAATTAGTTTCAATTTTATTAGCAATAGCATGAATGGACTTCCCAAATAGGTATAACAAACCCCAACTAACAAGTTTTTAGATTCCAGGAAACGAAAACTGTAAAAAGCAACTTTTTCGCTCTCAGAATAGGCTCCTCCACCAAAAAATATTACGTCATTTTACCTAGATCTTAATTCTCAATGTCAAAACCCACTGTCAGTTCTCGGAAGCGTCAAAATTCCATAAACAAATTGTTAAAAAATTTGAAACCTTTCCGGTTCACACTAAGAACGTGCATCGTCTGACTTTCACATGTTGTTTCATTGATGAATCACTGGTAAATACGCGAATCATACAATTATTATAAGGCTAGTTTTTTACGGCCTAAATAAATGAGCATTACCCTTAAGTTGGACAGTTAACAAGTCTTGGCGGGCTATTTAAAGGTAACGCGCGTCATTATAAGCAGCGACATGCGCTAGCTGGCCCTTTAACTGTCGCTTAAACTACACTTTAACGTCCGAATCGGTGGTATCGCGCGCCCGAGTGTTGTGTTGCTCCAGAGAAAACAATGGTTAAACTGCGGTTTCCAACACTCGCGGTCGACTGTGATGTATAAACATTTAAACAAAGAAAGGAACAGACGCACGCGCGTCCAAGTAGGCAGGTTTTAGGATCGTATGAAACCAATGCTTAAGGTGCAGATTTGATTTTGGTGGTATGAGAATGGATTTTCAACTTAAAGTAACGTGTACTTTCCGGAAGAAGGCGGGCTTTGGGGCGGCGTTTACGTCGCGATAAATGTCAGTTTATAGTTAATTTTACCGCTTTTTATAAAAGTTGCTATTTTTGCTGTTTTATTTAGGATTTCTTTTACCTACATCTTCGTTTTGATTTTATCTATACCGGATTTTTCATTTATATCGTAGGTAGTAGTGTTGGTTGGGGTTTTTACCCTCTAAAATTATAATTTTATCAAAATTACGTTAATAGGTAGTTTTCCTGTATTCTTAATTCTGAAATTTCCTACTGTGAGATAGTTATAAAAATGAATTTGTTTGTCTTGCAATATTAAAATGCCTAGGAAAATACCTTGGAAAATAGCTCATCTAAAGACTGTTCCCAGCTAGCACAAAATCATTCCATTCCAGGCTCTTTAATTCGCATTCAATGTATTTTTAATGTAACCTAACATCCATGCAACTAACCACTGAATGTCCGCAACTGCAAGACTTTTATCCTAAAATTAATAATAAACCTTGGTTTGACACATGTATTCTTGCTAAAAAACAACTCAAACTGGCACTATCATATTTTAGAAAAGATAATTTCTCACAGGAAACAAAAACTTTATCCATTGTGGCTGAACTGAAAGTTATAAAAACATAAAGCAAAGAACAAGTTATAACAGTAATTTTAAAAAACCTACCAGATCTTAACCAAATATATATGAGGTACCACTTTTCTAACAAAAAAGAATCATAGAAATCGGACAAAATGGTAAAGAATTATCTCTGAACTTACGTAAAAAAATTAAGAGTTTGAGGATTTTCTCATGGACCCAATTATTGGATCTGGATTAAATTTATACGGGACCACCTCTGAAGTACCCCCTTTCTAACAAAAATCATTAAAATCGGACACCGTGTCAAAGAATTATCGCTGAACATACATAAATATATATACGCACCTAACTATTATTATGAAGCCCAACATATACTAAAGGGTAATGGAAGCCTGGTGTGTGGGGTTATTGCGAAACCCGCTAGGTTCTATGCATTGTATGAAGCCCGAATGTATAAAAAGTTAATATTTATTCGATTATAAGAAACCCTACAGCGTTGCCAACAAAACAATGAGTTTTGTTAAGTAGGATGTATATAAATATTAACACAGAGCTCTGACAACTGCATCTTCTTGAGATCTACAATCTCTTAGGAAATAATAAATTAAAATTTGCCGATAATTAAATTCTTCTAATAAGAACAAAAACAACTGCTGTTCTCTTTCAAATAAATCCTGTCATGATTGTTCTCGTTGTTAAACACTATACCTATTTATGAAACTGAAAAATAATTTTCTTATATTATCTTTGCAAACAACTTGTTTTTATGATGTTTGTGAGAAGAAAAAAGACGTTTTCCCATGCCGGAATTTTTTTCCCATGCCGGAATTTTTTTCCCGTGCGTTACATTTTGATGCTAAAACAACATTTATTTTCTTAGTACATAATACAAGGTCCACAACATTTCAAAAAATCTGATTTGTCCAACACATGACTTTCCTATCTAGTTATTAGGTACAGACCTTTTCCGGTTATTTTGTACAACCTATTGTATCATCCCTGTAAATATTTAGAGGATGAACTGAATACATACATTTTCCACACATAATTTACTGGAATTTTTTTTTTTTTTGGATTTTCTAAGTTTTTGAAAATTCCATTTTAGGTCAATCATGTACGAAACATAAATTATAAAGAATAAAATCATAAGCAACTTTTATCAAGTTTCTTAAAAATTTAAATTTTGTACATTTTGTCAAATTTCTAGAATACGGCCCATTTAAGAAAAATTTTGTATGGTTCAAAAATTATAGAAAATTATACTTCAAACTATACTTCTCCAATCACAAATAACGGAGATATTCGTTAAAGTAAAAAACGACCACCTATAAAACACCCTTCAGATGAGATGTTCGACTATGTCCAAAATTTAGACAGCTTACAACAGAATGTAGTTAAGCTTAAGTTTAAAATTTGGTGTTTTTTTCTTTATTCAATTTTGAGATATAATTTAATATTCTAAATTTTCACATTTCCTCATATTTCTCGAATACGGGCCATTTTGGTAAAATTAAGTACGCAACAAAAATTATAGAGAATAATATTGTAAACAACTTTTATTCAAAGAAGTTTCTTCTCCAAGCGTAAATAACAGATATATTCCATAAAGTGGGAAAATTACCCCTCATAAAGTACTCCCCCAGATGTTCTGACTATGCCCAAAATCTATTCACCTCACAGTAGGGTAAATTAAAGCTTAAGTTTATAATTTGGTGTTTTTTGCTTTATCCGTTTTTGAGTTATATTTAAAATTCTAAATTTTCAATATTCCTCAAATTTCTCGAATACGGGCCATTTTAGGAAAATTATGTATATGATGGGCAAACATCAAATAACTTTTTTGCATACCCTCTAATTTCAAAATATATCAAAAAGAATTTTCGCGGGAAAACTTCCAGATAAAAGTAAACATTTTAAAAGTTTAATTCCATAGAGGTATAGCGTTTCTTTTGTCCACTTTTGCCCATCAATTAATTTTTATAAAAAAAAACAAAAAAAATATTTACAAAAATAAAATATGATAACTGCATTCGGTAATAATTATTTTGCCCATTTTTTAGTTTTTCCATTTCGCATTCCCTTTTTGAAAAAATACAAATAAAAAAAAACAATTTTACAAAACCGTGAAGTTGGCACCCAACATTGCAAAAATAATGTGAAATTTGCCCACGTTTGCCCATCCATTAATTTAAAAAAAAATTGAATTAAAAATAAAACAAAAAAAAATATATTATAGTTTTTCTATGGGAGGACCCATAGAAACACAACAAACACACCAAAAATACTGAGAAGACCATGAAATGAGTATATTTAATTATTCATATATGTCAACTAAGTTGATATATCATTATCACAAAAACTAGTAATAACAAGTTGATATAATCTAACTTTTATGAAGAAATTACACATTTTAACCAAGGAAATATTACCTCTTATAAATGAATTTATGTTTAAAACAGGTATTAGAAATTAAAAATTTAAAAAAACCGACTTCAAAAACGTGCAGATGCCATCACCACATCTTAACCAAACTTATATGGGACCACCCCTAAGGTACCCCCTTACTAACAATAAAAAGAATCATATAAATCGGAACATACATAAAAAATGAAGAGTTTGAGGATTTTATCATGGACCCAATTATTAGATTTTAACCAAATTTATATGGGACCACCCCTGAAGTACCCCCTTTCTAATAAAAAAATAATCATTGAAATCGGACACCGTGTTAAAGAATTATCGCTGAACATACATAAAAAAAATATATTGCGACGAATTGATAACCTCCTCCTTTTTTGAAGTCGATTAAAAAATAACTTCCAATTAAACATTTATTTATTCTAATATAAGGTAGATAATAAATATTTAAAAATTTGGTGGCTGAACCAGTGCATGAATTGATAGTGAATATTCGTTCCAATATTTTATTGACCAGCACCTTCACCAAAAACCTAAATAAATTTATATCTCCAAAATATTTATTTATTATTATTACAGCATTGACATTGACAATTAAAATATATTTGAAGTCTTTTTGAATAACGTGAGAAACATTATTTGACTATTACCTAAGAGATGAATGATATATATCTTTTTTTCTATTAGTTCCTCTTTCTCTTGTGTCTTTGATGTGATTCGACCAACACTTGGGAACTATCAGTTTTTTTTTTTTATTTAAGAAAAAGAATAAACATTTTATAATACAAAATAATAGTTATTTACGTAACAAGTCCCGAAAGTGATATTTTACGGGATGAGTAGGCAGTTTCCAGGGCGAGCCGTAGGCGAGTCCTGGAAGCCTGCGAGTCCCGTAAAATCACTTTTGGGTAGCGTTACGTACAATATTTTTTCTGCAGCCGTTTATTAGATAAAAATATTAAAAAATAATAGGGATAGATACTATAAATATTACTTATGAACATTAAATGTACAATTATAACAATTACTTATATTAATAGTATTAGGAATATTAGCAGAAATGGCTGTGTTGAAATTAGTATTAGACGTTGCAGTACTTGTACTAGCTTTCGAGATATTAATTTTTATCATCTTGCCATTTTTGGAATAAATTATAGACCATTTCATACCTCTCTCTTGACTTTACTGGCAACAATTCATAAGTAGCGACTTTAGCAGCTTCACTGATTTCATGTGGAATAATCATTTCCTCGTCACTTTCGTTGTCGATTTCCATTTCTGGATCGGAAAATTGAAAATACAGTGGAACTATCAACAAATTTATTTTGACAAGCGATGTCATAATAAAAATTCCGTAAATGTCATTGCTAAGGCCGCCTACATAGATATTGAAAATTATTCCGAAAGTAAAAAAATCGTCCCGAAAGTAAAAAAAATCATTCCGAAAATAGCTACTTTCGGTACGATTTGTGTAAAGTTTCACTTTCGATTTAATAAATCATACCCAAAGTTCTATTTTCGGGACGGCTGCAGAAAAAATAAATTTACAATGAGAAAGTATTATACCTATTAGTTATATAACATTGTTCTTTTAGGGAATATATTATTTTAATAAATTTCTGGTAGGCCAAAATTGGATTGCTAAGAGAAATGACGTTGTCCCAGTTTACATTTTCTAATAATTTTGTAAATCTATCTATATCGGTGTGTATTATGTTGGTTTAATGTATTATGGTTAAAGTTTCTTTAGTTTGTTGTAATATTTAAAAAAATTGGAAAATGATCAGTTAAATCAGTGTCAATTACCAACGATTTAAATGAAAAATTTTGATTTGG